TTAGAAAATGGTACCCGCAAAAGTCGTTCAAAACAGAAAACGAATGGCGGTTCCCACAAGAATGCTTAGGTATGGGTAAGACCTGACCCTGGGCGGGCTTCAGCTCGCACCTTACACAAATAGAAATATTTTCAATTGAGAAGATTATGTGAAGCAATGACGAGAGATAGTACAAACGCAAGTGGCGCTGCCTACAACAAGCGCGATCCACGATCAAATCTCGAATCGCCCCACCCAACTCCCTCCACCCCACGATTAAAACCCGATCCCTCAGGAGAGCTAATCGATTAGATCTGTAGATCGAGATGGTAAACGTGGCGCATCCAAAGAATAGTTAATCAATGAAACTCCTTCATTTTTTTCGGGGGGGGGGGGACATAAAATAGACACTAAAAACACCTCATCAAGTGCTGCGATAAGTGTGCAGTATGTGACTTTAAGTCTACTCACAGAGCACTATGGTGCAAAATCTCTCCAAACGAAACAGTAACTGGAGCGAACCAAACACTGGTGAATAAACCACGGCATTGATGCACTTATGTTTTGTATAGGCACCACTCTATTCATGACATGCGTGACTTCTAGGGTTTTGTCCGGGCTTGAATCAGCCAGCTGCATTTCAATTCAATATACATTATGTGCAGCAACGGCTCTACTAATGGTGCTATAGTAACGTCCAGCCATGAATTTTGTAGGGTTCCTGTGAACTTTGAAATAGAAAAATCATGACAACAGAGGTTACAACCAGTGGGACATTTTTCCATGGAACTTCAAAATCACATTTCAGATCCGGGATGATGGCCCCTAGCCTCCACGCAGTTCTTCAGAGCTTTGAATGCGGTGCGCGCATTGGACCTTAACTTTGAGGATACTGATCCTTTCAGTGTACCAGGTGGGCGAACCGCAGCTGAAAGTATGCTACTTTCGTCCCTCGAAATGAGGCTAGAAGGCAGGTAGGCGGCATCATACTGCTTCCAACCCCTCCCATAGGCAGAAAACACAGCACACAACGTGCCGCAGGAGGCGCAGAACACTTCTCTACCAACTGTTCAATCGAGACAAACGACGACTTTAAGCTCATTGAAAATATAATCTAACAATGCTTACTACAACTCTGACATTACACTTACTGCATAAATGTCATTTTTGCCGCAAAAAATGTGAACCGCGTCCAAATCAGGTGTAACTGCGGCCAACGAAGGTGAAAGTGTCATCATGCAGTTCATATGTTGAAGTTGGAGGGGGAGTGTCTATAGATTTCGCTGAGAATGCGGCGGCCATCTATAGTTTGTAGTCAATCCAGGTAGGAAAAGTGACAACGTTTCTGCGTTCCCTTTCTGCACATGCCGATAATCGCCCAACTGCGCTGCGCTCACAACTTAGTCCGTGGGCACTCCCCTCACAAGGCCTAGATATGTACTACGTTTATGTTGTCCTTGCAACGTGATACCTCGAAGGGGAACCAGATCGCTAATACCTTCACCAGGCAACTGTCAGATTAATCTGGGAAAATAAGAATATTGATCGTATTCATGTATGTAAATTCGAACAGCTTTCTGGCGCTGTTTGTCGACGGGGGCATTTTGTACTACCATTGCTTCCCTAGTTCCGGTTCACAAATCTCACCCTGGTAAAACTTGTGAACCCTTGTGAAGCTGGTGCAGGATCGTCTAGCCACCATCCTAAAACGTGTCAACTCGAGAAAAGGCTACCTAGATGGGTCGGCACATCTGGAAAGCAGAATGCCCCCCCCGTCGACAAACTGCACCCAGCTTTCATATTCTGAATCAAAATCAGGTTTAGAATCGGATGCAGGCCGAACTTAAGTAGTTCATCCATGCCCGAGTGAAATGTATTCTTTTCCTCTTCTGCATCTCTTCTTCCTTCAGCATAGATATTTCTTACAATTTATCTTAAACAAAATCACAGCTAATAAAATCACAACTCGCTCAATACTCAACAGATTATGCAAATTTGTGAATACACTTTTGTTTTTTTTCTCCAGAGCGTAGTGCACTTCACTATGCAACAAGTATGAGGCATCTAATTTTTCTACACAACCGTAACGTTTACCCCAACAAAAAACGGTAATTAGTGAGGTACGCTGATCACCCAATCCCCAAACATCTTTATAATCGACCCAATGGAGGCATAATTCACGAAGCTTCTCTAAAATTTTGGGCGCAATTAGACAACGGAGGGAAGGGGCATTCTGCATTTTTGCCGCTTTCATTGTCGTGTCGACCCACAAAAAGGAGATTTGTGAAATACTGTGAAACCATGAAAGTGACACCAGTCGAAATTCGCAGAAGCTACCTGTGAGCTCTTGTGAAGTATACCTGTCAATTCTTGTGAAGCAAGAATTGTGAAGCAAGAATGTGAAGCAGGCTTCCTGCGCTCGCTGCTTCCCACGTAATGGGAAGCAGCGAGCGCAGGAAGCCCCCCCCCCTCGCCGATTTGCGCCGAATTTTGCTTTCATTTCCCTTGCTGCAGAATGCTATTTCGCAGAAAGGCTCGTTCCAAAGCGAGGTAAACGTCCCGAAATCGTGCTTTTGACCGCAGATCTAGCTGATTCAAAAATTACGCTCTAAATTGAATTCCGCTCTTGAGAAGATGCAAGCGAAACGCCAACGTAGTTTACTGCATCGTTTTCAGAACAAGAGGTATGGCAGTGGCAGATGGTGTCTAAAAGTCGATAAGGTGAATCCCATTCCCTTCCCCTTTCCACCAACGCTTCTTGACACCATGAAAGGTCAACCAGCTTCGAATCGTTCGGAGAGACAAAGCTTTTTCTCCCATCAGTTTTCCATTGCAAGTCATTTAGCAGCTCAGGGAGCTATTCCAGTGCAAGCGGATGGAGCTGAAATGCGTCAAGCATGTCGATGAGGGGTTGGTAAAAATACAGAGCTTTGCTATACATTCTTCCGGTAGTACGGGTAAAACTGCAGTACCAGAAACAATGCGCTAGTATTTTCCTCAGAAAATTCACCCAAAATATAGGTTGGAAGGAAAGTCCTGTCAGTGTTTCCTTTCAAAAGCTTACAGTTTTTGATTCTCGATGCTTGACATGAGGTAATATGCCATGCTTGTAGAACATTCTGAGAGCTTTCGTGCAAGAGGTGTGTGAGGGCGCCTGCTCTTTCCTGGGTCTAATTAAAGAAATTTTAGTTTCACAGGAGCTCTGGCTTCGCGTCGTCTCATATCCTCACCCGTGCTCTGGCGGCACTGGTGTCACGTGCCCCGCAAAAGCTGTGTGCGACATCCAGTGCATTGATGGAGAACAACACCACCATCAGGACAGTTCACTTTTGGTTCGCTCAATTCGCGAAAGGAGATACGATCCCGAAAGAAATACCTCGGTCGGAGACGTCCTCAACGAAAGAGAGGCTTCACCGTTCTCGGAGCTGCCAAGGAAGATCCGGTGGCTACCACCCACTCGGATGTGCCTTACTGACAGTCGTCCACCGCCTGTAAGCCCTTGACTACCAAAAAGTACTGGCTCGATGGATCACCCATACCTTGACCGATGGCAGGCTGTGCACCTGGGTACCCCTTGGTGAGTCTCCCCTTCTTTTCCCCTTATCAGAAAGGAGTTTTTGAGGAGTGCTAAGGAGATGAGAAATGTGGTCTCTCTGAAAAAATTTTCACTGCACAGTACCGGTGCGTATCCTTCGAGAAAAGACCCATCATAGCAGTCCACACCGGACTATGGTTCCGAGAAGATTCTTCTTTACTGCTTCTGGGACGCGAAGGGAATGCTGCACACAAGCTGCCCATATGAGAACATAGGTCATCGGCTTACCATCTATATCGCTCAGCTCCTGAAACCGGTAGAAATTGTCGGAGAAAAGTGACGGAGACTAGCTTCGGGGCACCTCTTTCGTAGTACGCGAGACCCCATACCTGCTATGGAGACCTACCAAATAATTAAGGAGCCAAGACCTGGGAACGGCAGTCCCGCTATGCATATTCTCCAGATCGTATCCCGCTAACGACTGCTACCTGTCCTTCCTTGGGGCTTTCTTAGCTAGAGAAAACTTTCAGAGAGCCCTTTGATGACATGAGTGGAAAGGCCGCCGAATTACTCTACTCACAGCCTCCTTAGTTCTGGGAGCAGGGAATGGCTCATACGTCCATTAGGTAGAGCACTATAGTGGCTAACTATGACGAGCATATTGTTGACTAATCCCACTGTATGTTGAGTTAGAAAACAAAAAAAGAAAAAATTCTCAACAGTGACAAGACTTTCCTTCCGACCTATATCTGGAGAGAGACGAAAAATCAACCGTTCACTGAATCATCCAAAGCTTCTGGCTTGAGAAACACACTGTGTATCACGATAGTGGAACTTTTCCATATGCGAAGAGAGCAGACCATTCCGCTAGAGGGGTGACGAGAACGTCTGGGTTGTGATATGAAAATGATTGCGCTTTTTCACTTGAAATCACCCCATAGCAACGCAATCGCTTAATATGTGGTAACGTTCTCAAACTTTGTCCCTTAACTGCCTGTGCGGCTTTGTGTGCTCTGTCATCCCCGCGCTCGGTGTCTCTTTGCCTCAGGCTTCTTCACATACTTGTCGCTCAGAATCGACCTTTGAAAGTAAAATACCTTACGTGAAACACCATTCATTTCCTAACGGCAAACGTCCCGTGCTCCGTGAATCTCAGATTCACGAAGCACGGGACGTTTCTTTCAAAGGAGCGACGGACAAAACACTTGTAACGTGTCGCATTTGTCGCCTGCGGCGTATCGTGGGCGACGAACGGCAAATTCTGGACATGCACCAAAATGTCGGTTGAAGCAGCGAAGCTCATATTCAAGCGCAACAAGACTCGTGGTAGGCGAGATCAAGTTTTTCCCTCCTTTTCGCCCTCAACTTCAAGGGAAAGACAGGACAACTTGTTCTTCGGGTGCGGTGTCGCTCGCCATACCCACCACGCGAGGCACATTATGACTGTTTTGTCACATATCCCCTTCTGAAAACATATGTGATCACACTATCGTCGCAAAGAGATTGCATGCAAGCATTTATCACGAAATAAATGAAAAGACGTGATTTGGGACGAGATTCTTCTCTCCTCGTCGTTCCGCCTCAAGCACATCGTCCAGTTGAAGTGCACACCAGTTAGCATCAGACAGCTTGTGAAACCGTTCTCGTTCGCAAACTGAATGTCCGTGTCCAGTCGATCGCCGAACATCACCGTTTTCGTCGGGTCAATGTGGCCCCTTTCAGTCAAGAAGTCAGCTATTGGCTTGTGTGGCTTGCCGAAAACCAGTGGAGTACGACCAGATACTGCACGTATGCAAGATGAAGTAGCGCCTGACCCGGGAAGCACAACACCTGGGTACGGTCCAGGAAACGTATAATCTTCATCAGTCACCAGGAACTCGACTTCATTTTGTTGCAAAAAATTTACTGCTTTCATGATTTTAGGATAGCTAAGATGTGGATCGTAGCTGCATACAACCGCTTTCGGATTCGGCGTGAAATCCATGTTGTATATGAAATCGCTATCTGAATGATCTCTGAAATGATCTGTCCCAGTGCCAAAACACTGCACTCTTCCGATGCTTTCCAGTGTCGTTTTCAGAGTTTCCGTACCCAACAGATACACGGGTTGTCCTGCATAATCCGGTCGATCACGGAAATACGTGGCCATCACGACGCCAGGATTTATTACATTTTCCTCAGTGAAGCCTCGAAATCCCATCTTTGAAATCTTGGACATGTACTGATCCATCGTCTTAGTCGGATTGTTACTTATGATGAAGATACGCTTGCCTGCGTCTTGAAGCGTCGAAACGAAGTCAACGGCTCCTGGTATTGGAACATCGCCCATCCATAAGACACCGTCGGCGTCGAAAAGAAACGTTTCAAAGCGTTTGAGCAGGTCATTTTGCGATATCGTAGGCAGGGACATCCACAGATTACGGATCTGAACAATAACAAATCAAAAAAGTTGTAAGCAGACAAAAATGATTAGGCAGACGATACTTGGCGAGTTGTTCACGAGGGCTCAACAAGCAGAACCAATCTCATGCGAAAACAGTCCTCAGAATTCGTTTTACAAAGCTTAGGCTGCGTTCATACTTTGAGGCAGCGTCCATCAGCGTCTACCGGCGTTCACAGGCGTTCCGAGCGACCTGCAGCGTCAGCGACTAGGAAAGTGTAGATATCGCCTATCAGCCGTGTAGCAGCGTCCACTAACATTTACCAGCGACCGGGAGTAGAGAGTATGGGGAAGTAGGAGGGTAGCAAACAGCTGGATTAGGCGTCGTGAAATTGCGGCGTGTGCAACCGCACCGCACAACTGCTAAAGCACAGAATTATGCAATTTAATGTGCGGTGTAGTGTAGTTGTACGGTTGCGGTTGCACACGCTGCAAGTTTTTACTTTCCCATAGTCCCTACCCCCGGTCGCTGGTGAAGCTGGTGGACACTGGTAGACGCTGGCAGACGCTAGATCGATATCTATACTTTCCTAGTCGCTGACGCTACCGGACACTCGGAACGCTAGTGGACGCTGGTAGACGCTGCCACAAAGTATGAACGCAGTCTTACTAGTTATGTTTAGGTGAGGTGGAGAGAGTTGTGGAGTTCACGATGTCATTACACGTGAAGAGCAATGGCCTACAAGAGCGGTGGCTCGCCAACATTTCTAGCGGAGGAATGCAAATTGGCAAAGTTATTGTCATAAAAGCTGTTCCGGGCAAAAACTGAGTTTATTTTTTGTTTTTATTTCACCAATTTTTAACTAAGACACGGTAAAGATCACTTTTGTCAACCTCCTGGCAGGCACACAAGTAAAGCAAAGTTCTTAGATGAAAAGGAGATCAACACCAGTCGAACACCCCTGCAGGATGATGCCACGCAACCATTTATTAACATTCATTCATATTATTTATAAACACGCATATTCAAGTTGAAACTGTTTATCTATGAACGAATTAGCACCGTGTTCGAGTTTGATTCTGAGCCACCCCACATATAGTCATGATCCCCGCAAACGATAGGGCATGTGGAGGGCGTGGACTGGAGTGTTACCAAGGCGGCCTTTTCACCAATGAGGCCATCACGAGTCTGCAACACTTGGCAAGGATGGCTGTTCCGACCACGCTCCAACTCACATCCCTTCCCACACCCAAACTTTTGCAGGTATCATGATAATAAGTGTGTAACATCGCTGGCAGCCACATTAGTTGTGATACGAAGAAAAAATGCTTAAAATAATTACTAAGCGATATAGACGTGAGTTGAAAGCGGCAACAAACACATTATCTCACCGTTGACCATACTTTGCCGTTTCCTCATGTACAATGAGCAAAATAGCGACTAAATGGTTGCGATACATGCGTGCAAGCTGTTGCCAAAGGTCGCTGAGGCATCAAAATATTTGTAGATGCTCATGATTCTAGCAATTCCGCTTTTGTACACGACGATGGTGACTCAATAATAATTCAGCCTTCTCGCTAGCAGTGAGATATGTTGATATGAGACATGTTGATTTCAAATCATCACGCTTAGCACAACACTTTAGTCACCTGACAACGTTCAACTATGAAGCATACACACGACATTCCCTGATGATCCTAATGGTAAGAAAGAATGTGCCAGCGCTCGAAACACTTCTCTTTGCTGCTCAAAAGCAGAGTCCACATTGACCATATGGGCGGAGTCGGGCCGGCCAATGTGCCTTTCTCATTTTCGCACATCAATATGTTGGAGACGATGGCTGCTCCAACGAATGAGGCACAGTGGTAAGCCGGACTCCGACTATAGACCACAATTGACTATGGTTTTGGGGTGCTCCACTGTAAGTAAAATTATTCAGTCTTCATCGGAGAACAGAAGGGACCAGCGGTGAGCGCCACGCTGGCAGTGAAGGTCTAGAAGAAAAGAAGGGGTAATATGTTCAGGAGAGGAGAAGCTCACACGGGGACAGCAATCGACGAGAACACCCCCCCCCCTCGGACATGGAGTATATGATCTTGAATTTAGTTGCTACGAAAGCTTTGGAATCTGTTCTATAAAATGCTTATTTTCTTGAATATCTCGATACTTGAAACACCGATATGATATGCTCTAAATGAATTGAGGACTGTTGACAAAGGCTTTGCGAAGCACTTTCAATCTAGCCCCATTTTAAGCATTTTTTCTAAAGGACTTTTTCTGAACAGATCTTTTTTACTTTGAAACAAATGACCTTCAGTCTGCAGTTGAACAACTTTACCAGTGAACTCAGCATTCACTTCCGTATTGTTATGGTACATTCGTTATGCTTGCCTTCTTTTTTTACTTACTGTTGCCGAGACAATTATCCAGGATTTGTGAATTGATCAGACAGATTCACCAAGTTGTTGTAATATTGTATTCGGTAATTTCTTGATGGCAGTTCTGAAACTCCAGCCTGTCGACAAAGAGAAAAGGAAAATCATCGTCAGAATTACATTTTTGTGCACAATCCTCTTTTCGTGAATCTCTCAATTACCATGTGCTATCAATCAGTGCACAGCTACGCGGTCATTCGTACGACACAAGTTTTAGGGGTCCTAATCCGCTTGCACATTATTTGTAAGAATCAAAGAACTCTTATCAAAGACAGCTCTAAGAGTTCGGTTTGAACAGTTTCAAATCAAAGCTGCGATTCAATTTCGCCATCACTAGATAGGTGCATTAGGGCTCTGCACATAGATCACTGGTGCTGAGCAATCGATAGTAAAGAAAAGGCCAGAAAAAAACATTCAACTGTCTATTATAATACCCCATTTTGATACCAGTTTTACTCTTTGATCATGAACTCATTTACATACTTTACGCTCTCCCCCATTCTCACAGCTGATTCCAGATAAGTAACTCTAGACGTCAGTGACGATTTCTAGTATTCCTTGTCATTGCGGAACATGCGCGAAATTTATTTTCAATTCAGTAAAACAACGGAGCGGCAGAGTACCCACGCTGCGAGTCACTTAGCTCACTTTACTGCGCATACGCTTTCTCCTCAAACTTTTCAACGCTAGATAACCGCTACAGGGTTGATTGTCGCGCAGATACACTACCCACATCCTCAACGCCATATTTTAATTTCTATACAGTAATAATCGCGACCTCACTTAAGTTCTAGCTTTGCTATGTTTAAAATAGTGACTGAAGCATCCACAATGGTTTTCTAGTTATGCAACCATACAGTATGGCTGCATTTTGAGTATATGCGATGCACCATGTCTTGTCACTCTAAATGAGGCAGGTGTAGCTGAAATATAGGATATTTATTCCAGGAACCAGAATAATTAACTTCTCAGCAGTCTCATTTTTAGTACAAATAAACCCATACTGAGTGACCGTATAAACGCCGCTTAACTACAACCATCTGTTCATCTCAATCGGTGAATTATTAAACTATACGTACGACGACTTTTGACCGAAAATGCTATGATAAATAAGTAATTATCAAGAAGAAACAAAAGAGAAGAAATGCTTTGGAACGAGCTTCATATCACCGCGCTCTTCTGCCTTCCTCGCATCTACCAGCGAATGCACACCGGTCAGTACCATACAGCTTGTGAAACCGTTCTCATTCGCGAATTGAATGTCCGTTTCAAGCCGATCTCCAAACATCACGGTCTTAGCTGGATCGATGTGTCCTTTCTTCTTCAGGAAATCGGCCATCGGTTTATGTGGCTTTCCGAAAACCTTGGGGGTACGACCAGAAGCTGCTTGGACGATTCTTGACGGATGACCTGAACGAGGAAGTTCAGTACCTGGCTCCGGCACACGAAGAGCATAATCCTCATCTGTTACCAGAAACTCGACTTCACTCCGCTTTAGGAAGTAGGCTGCCTTCATGATTTTCGTATAGCTGAGATATGGTTCAAGGCTAGAGACAACCGCCTTTGGATTCATTGAAAGATCATGTACTGAGCTTTGAGAGTCCTCTGGTCCAGTTCCAAAACAACAAACGTTACCAATACTTTCCAATGTATATTTAACATTTTCATTACCCAAAAGGTACACAGGCTGTCGGGCGTAATCCGGTCGATCGCGGAAGTACATACCCATGACAATACCGGGATTTATCACATTTTCTTTTGTGATACCTTGAAATCCCATTCTCTTGATTCTAGACAAATACTCATCCATCGATCTGTTCGGATTGTTACTCACGATAATGACACGTTTTCCTGCCTCTCGGAGGGCACAAACGAAATCTACGGCACCAGGCATTCGGTGCATTTTCCTCCCACAGAGTGCCATCTGCATCGAAGAGAAATGTTTCGAACTTGAGTACATCATCTCGCGAGATCGGTGTGGGAGGCATCAATGTTCTAAATAGCTCCATTTCATGACAACCGAGAAACGTATCACGAATCACAAGCAACGGTAACGAGCAACACATGGAGCATTTCCATAAGCAGAGTCTTCACATGGTTATGAGCCTGGCAACATCTTATTCTCGCAATCGAAAGCACATTTCGCGATTTCTGGGGGGTCCCTTCCACGTGTGAGGAGAGCACACATTCCATACGGGCTTTGGAATTGGAGGCGTGGATGCGCTCTTCATCCAAACAGAGGCGGCTGCTCTTTTGGTGGCATATTTTTATATTGGAACAAGTGCAAGGCTGCGTTCATACGTTGCGGCAGTCCACCACCGAGCCGCAGCGCCCACCAGCATTTCATTCGCCCGTCAGCGCCAGTTACTTAGAAAGTATAGATATCGATCTGTTATAGTAAAGGGCAGCGTCCACCAGCGTACAGGAGTGGAGAGCATAGGGAAGTAGGAAGGAGCAGACGAGACTCGAGAATTCGTTACTACCGTGTTACTACACAACACCGTACTCCTGGTCGCTAGGCAGTCGCTGGTGGACGCTGGTAGACGGTAGACGCTAGATCGGTATCCTTACTTTCTTAGTCCCTCGAACGCTGATGGTCGCTGGCGGACGCTAGATCGATAGCTATACTTTCCTAGTTGCTGATCCGGACGGACGCTCGGGACGCCGATGGACGCTGGTGGGGTGTTGCCGCAAAGCATGAAAGCAGTCTGAGCCACTACAATTCTGAATGGAAGCAGGATGCGCGCCGCAACCAGAAAAAGACTGATCAACGACGAAGACTTTATCCTTTATCCTTATTTTTATAAAAAGTCGCTAATGTGAACTACCGAACCAGTGAACAAATTACAAAATTTTGCATCATTAATTCGCATCAGGAGCGATCATTCAGACTTTCTCTCCCTGAGAACACCCCAGCGACCTTAAGATGTTTTGGTAAGATAAGAAGGCAGCAATTCTTTGTCGATAATCCCTAAGAACTATACTATCTGTGTAATGGGGAACGGAAAAGCGATCAATGCCCTTATCTATAGTGCACATTCACCCGTAGGTGAAGCAGTCATGCACACTATGAGTGCAGAGTTCAAATGAAGTTTGAAATCGCGCCGAATGCAGCCACAACTCATCATTTCATCAGAAAGGAGCCGCTGCATCGCGCAATCGCTAACTTCACGACTCCTCTTCAGAATGTCACTCGTTATCTTCTTTTGAAAAGGCTCTCAAATTTTGACTACATGTATTTCGTTTTCACCAAGTAAACGTTGTGAGTGCTGCAGCTTTGCGGCATAAAAGCCGTTAAGCTGAGAGGGTAAAAGCGGCCTGGTGGCGTAACGGATAGCGCACTCGCCCGGAAAGCGCGAGGTGCGGGTTCGACTCCCGCCTGGGGTTCGACTGCCCCCTGGGGTGCGACTTTTGCCCATAACTCAGCATTCTTGTGATAACATTCGGAACGCGTACTGCGGCTTCAAACAGCAGTTATCGTAACAAAATCGTTAGAGCATTGTATGATCCTCTGGTCCTCTCTATTTCAGTCTCAAATACGAGCAATATTCTGACATTACCCCCCCCCTCCACAAATCCTATCCGTAGCCTCAACATGGGGTGGGGGTGAGCGGTTTGGACTGTTCCAAACCGTACCAATGCGGAGGGTGCCACTTCAGAACCTGGCGAGCTACGCGTGGTTAAATTCCTTCTCGCCAAAACTTCTGATAAGGTAAAAGTTTGAGCCATGCCAGACGAATGCAGTATTGTCACTCCTGACAACCCCTAGCCTCCGCAGCAAACATGATAGCGTTTTTGCTAATTTCGCTATTCTACTTGGACATTCTCAGTAATCCAATTCAAAAAATGTTCTTAAATAATGGAAGTCGAATTATGGTGAAAACGAGAACAACTAGCCGATGAAGTGGCATTTTCATGGCGAAAGAAAAATCGAAAACGGCGTCGAGTTCAACAAAATCAGTGTAAAGGAACAGAAAGCGATACGAACTCTCATGTCCTTTTCAATACTCATTATTACACCCAGTGTACCTCATCGAGCTGACGAAAAGTCGTCCTTCAGCATCACATCCTTCCCCCTTGCCTCTGGTTCGACCACATTAACCTTAGTACAACTTCACCCCAGGAAGAAAAAAAAACTCAGGAAATCAGGGTATACGTTACAATAGTAAAAAACAACGATGAAATTCTCCTTTTGTTTCACAGGATCCCTACAACCTTCGAACTGGAGCAAGATCAGCACTCCATCTGAGACTCCCTCTCAGACTGACTCAAGCACCAGATGCAGATTCCTCAATCACACCGTGTGGGAGTCATACAATCACAGAAAGTAGCCTTGCGATCTCTGAGGATTCACTGAACATCAGCAAAACGAAGAACGGAAGACCGCTACAAAAAGGCTGTTCAGAAGTTCGGAAGTATTTGAATCTGTCTGTAACGTCTTCTCTCCAGCCAACCAGGGTTCTTAACGTGCCTCTGCGACGTATCCCTCTTCAAAGATGCCTACATTGACCTCTACCAGAACGTCACCTACGATCTTCATTTGTTCTGGGTCACTCATTTCTGTTACATTCTCTCGTCTCTAAATAGACTGTTGCTGCTACTAGTTCTGTGTTCACAGTAGACAACTATGGCACCAGACCAGGGCCATACGCCACGTCATTCCACAGAGCCGTCTAAAGTAGACGCTTTCATGATCTAGGATACAGTAAGTCGCCGAATAGTGACACAGAGGCGCTGGTCATCCTCTATGGAATGCGCCACGCACTCGTCTTCCACTCAAAATAGCAGTGGCATTTATAGAAATACCAGTCGGATCGCCCAGCTGTCGCCGGGCGCTCCTCCTGTGACATGGCCCAGCTTCGCCGGGCCATGCGGATTTGCCACGTGCTAAGTTACGGATCGTTGACCAACCACACTGTTCAAAGGATCTTCCTTTGGGTACCGTGAAGTGAACAAGATTCTTCGGGGAGGATAGGAGAACCGATTTCTACATCGGCCGGCTCAGTAAGTCTTGTGGCCCACATCTCAACTACGAGCTCCTTCGATTCTGAATAGAAGCAGATGGCGTGCCGCAATCCAAAAAAGAATTGGTCGAAGGCAAAGACTCTTTATCCTCTTATTTATTCATGGATCTCCTTCTCAAAGGACATTACAGGCTTGAAAGCAGGCATAAAAGCAAAGACAGTGTTCCACTAACTTCCCATTGCTCTGTTCATTATTAAATTCCGCTTATACAACCCACTCCTCCCTACCGGAGGGTCACATACGATGCCCACGCGACCGTCTCGGAGACTCTGACGGCTGCATGGAACGCATTTTTCATAGGTCCAATTTCAGAGCTAAGTGCGAACTTACAACTATAAGACTACAGTGCACACATGTTCCAGCTCAAAAAACACGGGCGCATTCACTTCATTCATAATTTTACCTACACAATTACCAGTGCAAGCCTGATAGCCTGAGAGGGGAGGGCGCCACATCTGCAAGCGCTCGTCAGCATACCAAATCCTGTAAACTGTGTACGTCCGAATACCGGACAACCTCATCGACACCCTACAGGCCTTGTTATCACCTATCAAGCATCTTCTAGACCCCTTTCGAATTTGTCGAGATGAGTGGTTAAGATTTGAAATGGGAAAATGGTGTTCCAACGACTAGAACAACTTCGCCAAGCTTTACAGAAGTTCACCGGGTACGTGACAGGAATTTCCAGGGAAGACAGGGTGAGACACGATTGTTAAAAGGCAAAAAAGGCAGATGCACCGAAAGAGCTTACAGGTACGCTCCTTCCCACCCTCTCAAAAGTCATTAGTGCCCCAGAGCAAAAGCCCCCTTGTTCTGCTTCCACAAAACCCATTGTTATAGCTCCGAATTTTCAATGCGTGGATGCTTGCAAAATATAGCAAATATGAAGTTATTCATCAGACGAACTATTCAGCAATAGTTATTTCTTTAATGCAGAGGTTGATCACAGTGTAAAAATGTGGAGTAAAAACATCATCAATATCCGAACACCAGGGGTAAAACTCTATTGCGAACGAAAAACAATTCTCCGAGGAAAGTGTTTCAGATTATCAATTAGAAAGAAACGAGAAGACGTAATCTGGGACGAGTTTCTTCTCGCCACGTTGCTTCGCTTTCTCCACATCTTCCAGCGAATGCACGCCGGTCAGGACGAAACAACTCGTGAAACCGTTCTCATTAGCGAATTGAATGTCCGTTTCGAGCCGATCTCCAAACATCACGGTCTTAGCAGGATCGATGTGAGCTTTCCTCTTCAGGTAGTCGGCCATTGGCTTATGTGGCTTTCCGAATACCTTCGGGGTACGGCCGGAAACTGCTTGGATGATAGAAGAAGGACAACCTGAACGAGGAATTTCATCGCCTAGATTCGGCACAGGAAGCGCATAATCTTCATCTGTTACCAAAAACTCGACATCGTTCCGTCTCAAAAAGCAGGCAGCCTGCATGATCTTTGCATAACTAAGGTACGGATCAGAGCTGGACACCACAGCCTTCGGTTTTAAAGAGGAATCTTCATCTGTATGAGTTTCAGAAGCTTGAGCTCCAACGCCGAAACAACGAACTTGTCCTATACTTTCCAATACGTTCTTCAGATTCTCGTTTCCCAAAAGATAAACTGGCTGCCCAGCATAATCTGGACGATCACGGAAGTATGCAGCCACGATAACACCAGAATCTATCACGTTTTCCTTCGTAAAACCTTCAAATCCCATTTTTGTTATTCTGGACAAAGACTGACTCATGGTCCTATTGGGATTATTACTCACAATGAATACACGTTTTTCTTTCCGTTGAAGTGTGGAAACGAAATCGACTGCTCCAGGAAGTGGAGTGTCACCCTTCCAGAGAGTACCATCAGCATCGAATAGGAACGTCTCGAACTTCAGCACATCCTCCCGTGAGATTGTTGGCAAAGACATCGCATTTCGAGAAATCTGAACATTCCCTAATCAGAGCTGTTCAAGTCACAACTATAGAGCCGAATTCATCGCTTTCCTGATGAGAACCCTATTGGTAACTCAACGACACAATCCGCGATCAAAAATACTAAGTATTGGGGCTCCGACACTAATGAAAAGGTGGTAACCGACTCAGTATCAAAGAAAAAACAGGAGGATGCTGGGTGTGCTATAGTACAGTGGGCGGGGCATCGCTTTCGTCATGAATGCGTGGCGTCCTTACCACATACATCTGAGCTGCGAAAGTAGTTATACTATAAGCTCGCGGATAGGACAGCCTTCCAAGAAAGGCGCCTGCACATCTACTGAACGCAAGACATTCCTTTAAAGGCAGTTGGCACGATAAATCCCCCAAGACGACTAGGATCAATACTCCTGGCATTCCGCGACCCTGGGCAGGCGCTGCATAGCGGTTTCCCCGAGGAAGGTGCCCTTATAAGGGCCCTATCAAGCCACAACTTTACGTCCCAAACGCCCGCCACGCCCGCCCGCCCACAAATGGACGACCGTTCCTGACGCTCGTATTCATTCATTTGCTAAGCAAATTATGAAGCGAAGGGATTGGTATGAAGCGCGTGATGCTGCATGCATACATGGGTACACATATGCAGCCGTATCTTCGGTAGCGGTGATTGGTAAGATGCCTACGGGAAACTCGTCCGAAATCGATTTACAAGTCACTGAGAACGGAGGCTTTTTCTTCGCAGGATTTTGACCGTTTCACTCCGTTCTTTCGCCATTTCCCCACTATACAGCGCCCTACTAGCATTTTAGGCTAAGTAGGAAACCATCGTGCCAACTGCCTTTACTACATACATAAAAACAGTGCGCTGAGAGGCGTACCGTACTTTGTGGCCACTCAAATTAGCGGCAGTGGCCAATTATATACTGCAACAACGAGGCTCACAGGGACATCAGAATCACGGCATCCCGCGTAAGGCTGCGTTCATACATTGCGGCAGCGTCCAACAGCAACCAGCAGCGTTTCGAGCGTCCGTCAGCACCAGCGACTAGGAAAGTATAGACATCGATCTAGCGTCTACCGGCGTCCACAAGC